CCCTTCCTGTACCCCAAACCCCTCATCCCCAGCCCCATCCTAGAGCCTGCACCCCCAGCCAAGAGCTCTGACCCCCTCCCACACCTCTGCCCCAGCCCAGAGCCCCCACCCCCTCCCACATCCTGAACCCCTCATTCCTGGCCCCACCCTGCAGCTCTCACCCCTGCACCCCAGCCCTGTGCCCCTCCCACACCCCAAACCTCTCATCCCCAGCTCCGTTCGGTTGTGCGCATCAACAATTTTCTTCACCCAGGTCGCCAGAAAAAAAGTTTGAAAACCACTGAGCTCAAGGCTCCATGGTTTTCAGCTGCCCCAAAACCTGTTTTACCTCCTCCCCTAGGAGATCACCCTCTTTAGTCACCTCCTTCCTGACTAGAGACATCTGTGCTCCAAAAAGAAAAGGAGGACTTGTGGCACCTTAAAGACTAACCAATTCATTTGATCATAAGCTTTCCTGAGCTACAGCTCACTTCAGTGTCTCCCCAGCCCTGGCACAGGCTACCGTTGACCTCGGCCGATTTTAATAAACTCTTGGTCTGGGTCCAGGAGATCAGACCTGCCAAAATTAACTCGAGCTCGGGCTGCCACCACTGAAGTCTCTGCCTGGGGGGCAGCGGGTTTCACCTGGGCAGCTCAGGGCGGGGATCTGGATCCCCCAGACATGGGGCATCACTTTGTCACATAAGTGACACTTCCTTGGGCCCTCCCTGGGTTTCGTCCCCTCTGCCCAGGAACAAGCCGCGGGCCCCCTTCTACTCCAGGCTCTCGCCCTTCCCCGTGGGCCCCGCACTCCAGGAGGGGCAGCACGGGGCGGTCCCAGTGAACTCCCACCGCAGCTGCCCCTGCCGGGGATCTCGCCCCTGCCGCAGCCCGCGCCTCCTCCGAGCCGCCCGCGATCGATCCACGAGGGGCGAGTCCCGGCCCCTGGACTTGGGACCCCGGTTTGCAAAGTATCCGCCGCTTTATGCCCCTGCCCCGGGGCCTGGGCCAGGGCAGCGGCTTGTCTCCAGCAGCCTCGGGCCGGCCCCGCCCCGCGTCCCCCCGCCCCGCGGCAGATGCTCCCAGCCGGGCCGCACGGGGGGCGCGGGGCGGGGCCGGAAGGTCCCTGCGTGGGGGCCTCCCCCGGCGGCTGGAGCGGGAGGCGCAGGCGCGGGGCCGTTGGCGGCGGGCGGGGCTGCAGCGGAGCGGGGCCTTCCCGGACACCTGGGGCGGGAGGTCGCTGCCCGGGCGGAGGAAGCGGCCCGGGCCGGAGCCGAGCGCGGCGATGGCTGCAGCGGGGCCGGCGCAGGTAGGACGCGGGGCGGGGACTCCCCGGCCGGGCACTGGCTGGGGCCGAGGGGGGCCGGGACCGGGTCCCTCCCGCGCTAGTGACCCCGGGGCTGGGAGCGGCTCAGCGCGGCCAGGCAGGGCCCGGGGGTCAGGGGCTGCAGCAGGCGGAGCGCTGGGGCCGGGGAGCGGCTTTGGGGGCCCGGGATCCGCCCACAAAGCCTGGCGGACATGCGGAGCCAGGCGCGACCCCTTTACCCCGAGTCCCCGGGGGGCTGTGCGGGGGGGTCTCCCTGGGTCACAGCTGCAGCGGCCGGAGCGGTGGGTGAGAGAGGGCTTCACTTTTTCAACTGTTGAGTCTTTCACTCTTACACCACATGCGTCTAGCCAGTCAGCTGAGTTTCTTGCAGACAGATAAGGAGCATTTGCTGGTCTTGTTCCAAACGAGTGTCCAACTTCGGGATGAACAAGTGACAATGCCCTGAACATTGGCCTCCCGGTTCTGTAGCGTCTGGGATCTCTTGCTTAAGTGGAAAGTGGGATGCCACAGCCCTGTTGGTTCACAGAAACTGAGTTGTCTCCAGCATTCTTAACAGCCGCATTCGGTTCTTCTAAAATTGGCTTTGACAGTGGCGGGCTGATAAGGCTTTTTGCATGTCCATGCAGTCCAGAGGCCAGGTGTTCTGCAGCCTTTTCATATAGGTTGTCAGTATTGGCTTAGCTGATCAGTCTGGCAAACCCAGCTCCTCCATTTTTACTATATAAATCCATGGTACACCCTCCTCTTGAACGCTGCATGCAGTTCTCGTCATTCCCTCGGAAGCACCTGGAATAATTCCTGCTGGAAGACAGGATATTGGGATAGATGGACCATTGGTCTGACCCAATAATGTCCTTCTTACATAAAAATAATTATAATAGTAGAAGTTCAGTACAGAAATTCCCCGAGATAATGACCTCTTCAGGTAGCGATGATGTGAGATAATGGCCTTGGGAAATAATGCATTTTTAAAATATTGGCCTACTACGAAACATATATTTATATAAGTTTCCCAGTCACAAATCTAGCATTCTGTAGCGAAGTCACTAAAACGTAGTCCAATGCCCTGGCCGCTGTTTGTCGTTCCACCGTTCACTCTACCGCTCCATCCCCAATGGCCCTGCACTGTCACCTTCTGCTGCCACTGTGACCTCTGTGAGTCTGTCTCTTCAGGTTCCACCCAGCTCTCAGTGACTTCAGCTCTCAGTGGGGGAACCTCACAGCTAGTGCAGGCTGGGCTGTCTCTTCCACAGAAACACTCCCACAGCAGGTTTAAGCACTTAGACCTAATTATCAGTGTTTTTAGCTCTTGTGGTCACTTATGAAGCCTAATCAACTCTCTCTGTAAACAGGAGAGAGGGCAGGTCAAATAATGCCTGTCACCTACACCGAGCAAAACACCTGTGCCCCACCCTCTCTCTCTGTGCACTAGGATATGGCATCCAAACCTCCTGCTTAGGGAGTGCAGTTCAGTTGAAGATGACCAGTGCTTAATTTGTAAGGAAAGAGGTGCTGGGGCTCAAGCAAGTTTGTTACTTTAATAACTGATGTGACAAGCCCAGAGGTCCCAGAGCTATGAACTGCCCAGCCTAGAGGTGCCGGGGCTCAGCCCTGGCACAAATTAAGCACTGAGGGAGACGTCCTCATTCAGTCAAGCTAAGTACAGTTCTGCTGCCTTTTACTCATACAATACAGATAACAACATTTCATAACCTCCACAGTTAATACTTAAAAATAAAAGGAGTACTTGTGGCACCTTAGAGACCAACAAATTTATTTGAGCATAAGCTTTCATGAGCTAAAGCTCACTTCATCGGATGCATTCAGTGGAAAATACAGTGGGGAGATTTATATACATAGAGAACATGAAACAATGAGTGTTATCATACACACTGTAAGGAGAGTGATCACTTAAGGTGAGCTATTACCAGCAGGAGGGGGGGGGGGGGAGATACCTTTTGTAGTGATAATCAAGGTGGGTCATTTCCAGCAGTTGACAAGAAAGTCTGAGGAACAGTGGGGGGCGAGAGGGGGGAATAAACATGGGGAAATAGCTTTACTTTGTGTAATGACCCATCCACTCCCAGTCTTTATTCAAGCCTAAGTTAATTGTATCCAGTTTGCAAATTAATTCCAATTCAGCAGTCTCTCGTTGGAGTCTGTTTTTGAAGTTTTTTGTTGAAGAATTGCAAGTTTTAGGTCTGTAATCGAGTGACCAAAGAGATTGAAGTGTTCTCTGACTGGTTTTTGAATGTTATAGTTCTTGACATCTGATTTGTGTCCATTTATTCTTTTACATAGAGACTGTCCAGTTTGACCAATGTACATGGCAGAGGGGCATTGCTGGCACATGATGGCATCTATCACATTGGTAGATGTGCAGGTGAACGAGCCTCTGATAGCGTGGCTGATGTGATTAGGCCCTATGATGGTGTCCCCTGAATAGATATGTGGACACAGTTGGCAATGGGCTTTGTTGCAAGGATAGGTTTCTGGGTTAGTGGTTCTGTTGTGTGGTGTGTGGTTGCTGGTGAGTATTTGCTTCAGGTTGGGGGGCTGTCTGTAAGCAAGGTCTGGCCTGTCTCCCAAGATCTGTGAGAGGGAAGGACGACCCATCACTCTTCTGCTGGTAATAGCTCACCTTAAGTGATCACTCTCATAGAACTCATAGACTCATAGAATATCAGGGTTGGAAGGGACCTCAGGAGGTCATCTAGTCCAACGCCCTGCTCAAAGCAGGACCAATCCCAAATTTTTGCCCCAGATCCCTAAATGGCCCCCTCAAGGATTGAACTCACAACCCTGGGTTTAGCAGGCCAATGCTCAAACCACTGAGCTATCCCTCCCCCTTACAGTGTGTATGGTAACACGCATTGTTTCATGTTCTCTATGTATATAAATCTCCCCACTGTATTTTCCACTGAATGCATCTGATGAAGTGAGCTGTAGCTCACGAAAGCTTATGCTCAAATAAATTTTAGTCTCTAAGGTGCCACAAGTACTCCTTTTCTTTTTGCGAAGACAGACTAACATGGGTGCTACTCTGAAACCAGTTAATTCTTAAGTGATTTGTAACCAACACCTGCCAAAATTGATCCCTTGGGCAACACAGCTCTGTTTCCTGGATACCTAGGCAGAGTAGGTGAGTTCATGTATATACAGTCTGGTCCTGAAGCTTTTCCACCCAACTGGGTCATCACTAGCTGTCAGGGGAGAGCTCATTCAGACCTTGCTTACAAACCATCATTTGAAATTATTAGGTTGGCCAATATAGCTGAAACAAATGTGCCAACATTGTCATAAATAACAACTGTATGAGGAAGCTAGTCTTGGTTCATACTTTTCAAACCCATTATGCTTTCTCAGGTACAAGTATTTTCTCATACACTGTATATGCATTTAAAGTGTGTATTAATGTTTCAATTTCAATTCAGATTTCCAACCAACAACTAAACTGGCAACACTGCATGTAATTGGGGGGGGTGTTGGGGAAATTCAGGGGGGGCTTAGGGAAATCCCTGCCCTGAGGTCCCTGGGGGAGCTGGGTGGGGCGGTGGAGTCTCCCTCGTTCACAGCTGGTGGGCTGGGTGTTATCCCTGTGAGTCGCTCCCCTAGAAACCGCGTCCCCTGCAGAGACTCCAGGCTTGGGGGGCTGGAGCGGAAGGTGCAGAGTGTGTAACGCTTCTGACAGCAGCTCCAGGTGGCGTTTGAGGACGTTGCTCTGTATTTCACCCGGGAGGAGTGGGAGCTCTTATCTAAGCAAGAGAAGCTGCTGTACCGGGACCAGATGCTGAGCAATAACCAGGCCCTCATTTCCCTGGGTAAGGACCTATTTATCTTTACTCATAGCTGTGAAATGTCTGGGTTCCCTTGACACCTCAGCTGCCATGTGCCACCCAGCAGCCAAGTGGTGGCAAATGTCAGCAACTTTCAGAGCCTCAGGCTAATGTTAATGTAACCTGTTTACTTGCATTATGTACCTCAGTCCTGGCACAGAGGTGGTTGGAAACAGCCCATGAGCAACAACCTCTTCCAGGAATCTCAGCCCAGACACCAATGGCAGTAACTCTGTCTCAAGAACTGACTCTAGTTAGACAAATAAGGCAGGGAGAAAATCCTCCTGCAGCAACTCCCCATCTCTCCAAAAAAGAATCAACATCGTAAGTTTAACAGCCGCACAACTGAACAAATCTTGCACCCTATGCAAAATAACTGGTAGGTCTGTGTAACGGTGACACCTGCCATGACTCAACCCCCACAGCAAATTGAGAAGGGTCATAGACGTTGCTGCTTCAGAGTGTGAACTGAACTTGCCTGGTGGGAGATGGGAAGAAATCTTTTCTAAGGAAGGCTTATTTCATTATTCTCCTGCTTGGGATCTCCTGCGCTTTCCTCTCAAGCAGTGTCTGATATTGGGGCCTTGTCGTTCCAGGTGCTGCGCAGACAAACACTGATCGAGGTCAGGGCCCTGTTGTGCTGGGCTGCACCAATATATAAATGAGTCCCTACCCCCAAAACTTTAGTAATAAAACTGATTCATTCCCCCGCAACAGGCTATTCAGGTTCCACGCCGGACTTAATCCACCGGATTGAGCTAGGGGAGGCAGAGCTCTGGATTCAGGATGTCGAGGACTCTAAAGAAAGCTCGGGATCTGAGAGCCCCTCCTCAGGTGAGTCATAATAATCCAAACCCTTCTGATTTACACACCTGCTAGTGGAGGGCTCCTTAATGTAAAAGGCAAAGGCAGAAAGAGATCCACTGGCTGGGAGCAGAAGCAAGACAAATTGATGCTGGGAATTAGGGGCCACTGTTTATCTGGGAGAGGAATGATCCACTGGGAGAGCTTCCCTCTGGAGAGGGTGGATTCTCCATTACTGTGAGTCTGTCAGTGGAGATGGGGCATCTCTTTCTCCAAGCCCTGCTCTAACTCAGCCAGAAGTTACTGGGATGGAGTCAGGAATGGCTTGGGGAGATTCTCTGGCTCAGATAGGCAGGAAGCCAGGCTGGATGCTCTCAATGCGCCTGTCTGGCCTTGATATCAATGAATCACAGATATCATAGTAATGTAGGACTAGACGGGACCTCGGTAGGTCATCTAGTCCAGTCCCCTGCGCTGAGGCACGACTAAGTATTATGAAGTCCATCCCTGACAGGTGTCTGTGTAAACTGTTCTTAGAAACCTCCAATGATGGAGATTCCACAACCTCCCCAGGTAATTTTTTCCAGTGCTTAACTACCCTTTCAGTTTGGAAGTCTTTCCTAATGTCTAACCTAAATCTCCCTTCCTGCAATTTAAGCCCATTACTTCTTGTCCTGGCCTCAGTGGATAAGGAGAACAATTTATCTTTCTAACAACCTTTTAGGTACTTCAAGACTGTTATCAGGTGTCCACCAGCCGCCCTCCCCCCGCCCACACAGTCTTTTCTTCTCCAGACTAAACAAATACAATTTTTTCAATCTTTCCTATGGGTCATGTTTTCTAGACCTTTAATCATTCTTGTTGCTCTTGTCTGACCCTCTCCAATTTGTCCACATCCTTTCTGAAGTGTGGGGCCCAGAACTGGACACAATTCTCCGGTTGAGGCCTTACCAGTGCTGAGCAGAGTAGAAGAATTACTTCTCACATCTTGCTTGTAACACTCCTGCTAATACATCCCAGAATGATATTTGCTTTTTTTTTTTTTTTCAACAGAATTCCATTGTTGGCTCATATTTAGTTTGTGATCCACAATAACTCCATATGGTTTTCTGCAGTACTCTTTCCTAGGCAGTCATTTCCCATTCTGTATTTGTGTGATTTATTATTCCGACTTAAGTGTAGTACTTTGCATATGGTCTTATTGAATTTCATCCTATTTAATTCCAACCATTTCTCCAGTTTGTCAAGATCCTTTTGAATTCTAATCCTGTCCTCTAAAGCACTTGCAACCCCTCCCAGCTTGGAATCGTCCATAAACTTTGAGTGTATTCTCTGTGCCACTGTCCAAATCATTTATGAAGATACGGAATAGGACCGATCCCAGTGGGATCCCATTCGATATGCCTTTCAGCTCGTTTTTGAGCCATAATAACTACTCTCTGAGTACAGTTTTCTAACGAGTTGTGCACCCACCTTATTTGCCTAGGCTGTGTTTCTCTAATTTGTTCACGAGAAGGTCATGTAAGACCGTATCAGAAGTCTCACTAACGTTGAGCTGTGACATGTACTGCTTCTCCCCTATCCACAAGTCTTACTACCTGTCAAAGAAGGATATTAGGTTGGTTTGACATAATTTGTTCCTGACAAATCCATGTTTTCTGTTACCTAGAAGGAAATAAACTAATAAGTGCTTACAAATAGAATGTTTGCTTATCCATTATCTTTCCAGGTACTGAAGTTAAGATGACTGGTCTGTAATTCCTTGGCTTGTCCTTATTCCCCTTTCTATAACTGGCTACTATATTTGCCCTTTTCCAGTCCTTGGGTCTCTCTACCATCCGCAGTGATTATCTCTAAGAAAAGTGAATGGCTCAGAGATCATTTCAGCCAGTTCCTTAAGTATTCTAGGATGTATTTCATCAGGCCGTGCTTACTTGAAGACCTCTAACTTGTCTAAGTAATTCATAACTATTTCTTTTCCTATTTTAGGCTCAGATCCTACCCCATTGACTCTGATGTTCACTATGTTAGTCGACCAATCACAGCTAACTTTTTTGGTGAAAACTGAAACAAAAGAGGCATTTAACAGTTTGGCCATTGCTGCATTTTCTCTTATTGTCTTTCCCTCCTCATTTAGTAATGGGCCTAGCCTGTCCTTGGTCTTCCCTTTCCTTCCCATGTATTTGTAAAATGCTTTCTTGTTGCCCTTTATATCCCTAGTTAGTTTAGTTTTGTTTTTTGCCTCGGCCTTTCTAATTTTGTCCCTACATGCTTGTGGGTTGTTTTTTTAATATTAATCCTTTATAATTTGACTTAGTTTCCACTTCTTGTATGACTCTCTTTTGAGTTTCAGGTCACTGGCAATCTCCTGGTTAAGGCAGGGAGTCCTCTTATCATACTTCTCATCTTTCCTACTCATTGGATATCTCTGACCTATGATGGGACATAAACATTATGGGGCCTCAAAGCTGTGAAAGAGAAATGGATCGGAGATGGGGAGATGATAAACTTGAAAGAGGGGTGGGATAGTGATATGGGATAATGTAGGGAGGGGGAAGATTTCAGGGGATGCTGAGGGAAAGAGAGAGGTTTCCGTGGTAGGGCCGGGGAGCATATGAGGGCTGCATTTACCTAGTGGGTAGGACATTGCAGTAGGATTCAAAAGATCTTGATTCAGTTCTAGAAGCGAATCGCTACAGCTCCACCATGCCTCAGTTACCCCATCTGTGTAATGGAGAGGGCATTGAGGCTGTGAGGATAAAATCCATCTGTGTGTGTGTCAGTGGATCTGGCACCGGGGCTCAGACAAGCACCTGGCTGGAAAGACATGCCTGTCGTTCTATAGACCACAACACCTTCTTCTAGGCTTCCCACACCTCAGAAAATCATACCAAGGCAGGGGTACCCTAGAGATTTTTCAAATGGGCTTCATGCCTCTGCCCCTCCTGACTCAAGCTGTTGTGCTGGTGTCGTATGGCCCTGGGACATCTGGATCCAGACATAACTCAGCCAGAGGCAAAAACCTTCTCGCAGCCTGGGAGAGCATCCCAGAGTCACTGGCCCTTGGCAGAGAAGGTGCTGCCCTGTCAAGGTTCCCACCCCACCCCCTCTCTGCCATTTCACTTCACACATGAGCTCTCAGACTGGAGAAACCTGCCCCCAGCGAGCAAGGAGAAAGCTGGGAATGACTCAGCAGGGCAGGATCAGTCACGTATGAAGAGCGCAGGTCATGCCATGCAGAGGACGCCATTTGGTAGAGTAGGTCTCAGGAACTTGCAGCATTTTGTTGTAATGCCCTAAAACTGCCCTGTGTTCCGGGCAGCTGTTGCTGGGGGAGAATGAACATGTTTAGGTGCCCAGACAAAATCGTCCTGTGGGGCACGACTTGGAGTACCCTGGTGTATGGGCTGGGTGTGAGGGAGAGGGGGTGGAATGGTCTTTGTCACATCCCCTCTCCTCCTGCTTTCTCAGTGGCACAAAATCTTTGTTGTGTACATTGCTTCAGTGTCAATGCTTAGCATAGCCCTCAGCCTTAACATGGTCTGTGACTCTCTGTAGACCAAAGGCTGGGTGGCAGCCATTCACTCCTTCCACCTCAGCAGTGTCACTGATTGGGTTGTAAAACGAGACAAACATGTTTTTCAGGTTATATCACACAAACCCTGAGTGATTTGTCATCCCATCAAACCCCCACCCTCTTAAGGATTTTAGTTCGGTTTTAGTTTTGCACAAAGAATGAAACATGAGGCTGAAGCTAAATGACTTCTTTAGGAGGAATTCCTTGAAAAGGAATCACTCCCCCACAGGAATAATCTACATTGTTCTAAGTGGCTTTATACTGGTCTCACTGGGCCCACATGAGGGGATTGTAGCTGGTTTCAAACCAATATAGTTTAAACAGTGCAAACACTGGGGAACAGGCCTTATGCTATAAAACAGGAGACAGTGCAGAACCACCAACATGTAAATAAAAACCTCTAATGGAAATAAAACCAAAATCAGTGTGAAAACAAAACCCAGACCCTGTTTGTTAGCACTTTGAGGCCCTAGTTCTGGCTGAGGGCCTTGTTGTGCCAGGCGCTGCCTGTATCCTAGGCAAGCTACAATTTAAGCATAAAACGAGACCCAAGATGCATGGTACACATGGGAGCAGGCGGTGGCCGTTGCACAAACAACATAGGGTAGAACCACCCTGAGTTAGGCTGCAGATTTGTGTCAGCATTTCCTATCAGAAATTAGAGAGCAGTTACAGTAAATTTAGTAAAAGTCACAGGTCACTAAATTTACTGTGACAGCTCCATGATTTTTAACACAACCTGCCCTCCTCCTTGCCCTGCCCATGGAGCACCAACCGCCCAAAGAAGAACCTTCCCCCTAGTGCTGCAGCCCTAACCCCAGCCTGGTGCAGAGGCGTTGGTGTGGGCTAGAGAAGATCTGGGTGGTAAGGCCATTCACTGAAGTTTGGCTCGCTTCCCCCACCATTCTGACTGGGGGCGGGGGCAAATCTGAGTGGCGCTGTAACCCCGCAGGCCAGGTCTCAATTCCCAGAGCAAGGTGTTGGGTCCAGCCCTGTCGGACAGGAGCCGCCATTGCAGGCAGAGGCACCCATCCAAAAAACAGTCACTGAGAAATGGGGAAATCGCTCCATCCGTGACATTTTCCCATCTTTGACAAACCAGTAGACTTTACTGTGCACTAACGCCAGGATTGCCTCTGCTCTCTCCAGCAGGGCTCGGGATCCCGGGAGGAACGAGGGCATGGGCAGAATGTGGGGAGAGCACGGCAGGAATGCAGGATCCCACATCACACAGGGGGATCCATGCACAGGACTCAGTCCATCCCTGGGGTAAACTCAGCCAGAGACCGGATCTGGCTACACACCAGAGACTCTCCATCGGCCAGCGTCCTGACCGCCGCATCAATTGCGGCAAGAGGTTCAGCAACCCCTCCGCACTGACCCAGCACCAGCGCTGGCATATCGGGGAGAGGCCGTACCACAGCGCTGCCTGTGGCAGGAGCTTCAGGCAGTCCTCAATCCTGAGAACACACCGGGGCACGCACACCAGGGAGCGGCCGCACCACTGCTCTGACTGCGGCAAGGGCTTTGCACAGAGCTCAAGCCTCAGTAGACACCAGCTCACGCACACCGGGGAGCGGCCACATCGCTGCACTGACTGCGGCAAGGGCTTTGCACAGATTTCACACCTGAGAGTCCATCAGCTCACACACACCGGGGAGCGGCCGCACCGCTGTGCTGACTGTGGCAAGGTCTTTGCACACAGCTCAAGCCTCAGCATACACCAGCGCGCACACACTGGGGGAGCGGCCGCACCGCTGTGCTGACTGCGGCAAGGGCTTTGCACAGATTTCACACCTGAGGGTCCATCAGCGCAGACACACCGGGGAGCGGCCGCACCGCTGTGCTGACTGCGGCAAGGGGTTTGCATGCAGCTCAAGCCTCAGCAGACACCAGCGCACACACACTGGGGAGCGGCCGCACCGTTGTGCTGACTGCGGCAAGGGCTTTGTACAGAGCTCAAGCCTGAGAAGACACCAACGCACACACACCGGGGGAGCGGCCGCACCACTGTGTTGACTGTGGCAAGGGCTTTGCACGCAGCTCAAGCCTCAGCAGACACCAGCGCACCCACACTGGGGAGCGGCCGCACCGCTGTGCTGACTGCGGCAAGTGCTTTATACAGAGCTCAATCCTGAAAAGACACCAGCTCACCCACACCGGGGAGCGGCCGCACCGCTGTGCTGACTGCGGCAAGGGCTTTGTACAGATTTCAAACCTGAGAGTCCATCAGCGTACGCACACCGGGGAGCGGCCGCACCGCTGTGCTGACTGCGGCAAAGGCTTTGTACAGATTTCACACCTGAGAGTCCATCAACACACGCACGCCGTGGAGGGGCCGCACTGCTGCGCTGACTGTGGCAAGCGCTTTGCTAGGTTGGCCAATCTCATCCGGCACCAAATCACACACAGCAGTGCCCCCCTGGCAACGCCACAGCCTAAGGGGCTTCTGGCAGCCAGTGGGCCTGGCACAGCGCCAGCAGGTGTGAACCAGGGAGTGGTCCTGTTCCCATGATGCCTGACAGAGACACTGTGTGGGGCAGGGAAGGGGGCTTGGCTGAAGAGTCAAGTGGGGAAGAGCAGACAGGTGGAGGGAATTTAGAGCAGATGGTCACAGCCTACTCTATTTGGGAGCATCCCCACCCCCACCCCCTGTAGGTGGGATCCAGCCAGGCCTTTCTCTTTCTGTCCCACACTCATGCATCTCGCTGGGATGCAGCCAGGACACCCCTCACCCCCCTCTAGATGGGACCCAGCCAGGAAATTCCCCACACACCTACCTCAGTTCCAGTCAGCGAGTGACTCTTGGGTGACATCTAGAGGTGGAATTTGCAGTCCTGTCTCAGCATGGATTGGGCTGAGAGCGGGACAGCCCGGCTGCATGTGATTGAAAGATGATGCAGGAACTACTTCTGCTATCTTTTTAAATACAAATGTGATGAAGAACTATGTACTTAATGTGTTACAAAGGTCTGTTTAACCAGGGTGGATTTGATTTAAATCACGAGTCAGGAAGACTCGATTTATGTAGAAATCCGTGATTAAAAGTGCATTCTTGTTGGTTGTTATAACCTTAATACATATTCTTCACAACTAAGAGAGAGATGTAGGCTTCATTTTTAAAAGGTTACACACTATACATTTTTAAGTGATTTATTTTGAAAACTTTTCAGATGAGTTTTACAGCTATATCAGAAAATGAATGATTGTTTGGTTATTTCATTTACCAAAGATAATTGAAGCAGACATTTATGAAGTCACTGGGAGGTGAACTATCTCCAAATCAACAGGTTAATCGTTAATATTTGGAGGATTTTCTTGCCATGCTGTGTTAGGAGGAGAACATCACCAGACAGCCATTTAAATAGTTTTATTTAACTAAAGCAACAACGTTATGTATTCTGGATTTTTTTTCTTCAACGGCAAACGTATAATATTTTTTACAAAACAAGCATATGAATTTTTGAATTTAGTTAAACATTCAAGTTTTTTAAAATCAGGTTTGTTTTTGTTAAAATTGTTTTTAACTAAAATAGTTAAATGAAATATTTTTTAAAAAAATTAAATCGACGATGTCAGCCAGGTTAACATGAGAAACTTAAAATATTGGCTTCTGGAGCTAACTCAGTCGCCTTCGCCTTCATTTTCCTGTTTGTTCATAATCTGGAAAAGAAAAACAAGCTTTCCTGCTTTTTCAGGTCCCAAATGATTTCTCAATTTGGAATGAATTATTTCAAAGGAAGAAAATATTCTTTCTACTCTGGCAGAAGAAGCTACTCCTCTTAAGTGAGATTATCACTTCAACAGTCTCTGAATCCAAGTGCTTAAGTGACTTCTACCAGTTCCATCAATGTGACTTTCTTTAAAACATCATCAGCGAACACACATTTCTTGTATGGTTCTTATTCCCAAACTGGGTCTCTTATGACCTGCTGCCATTATAGGTTTTCCTTTCTATTGAGAGAATGGTATGGTAGATCTTAAATCAATGAAGGCTACACTCAGAAAGACCTCAAGACTTCTGGAATATGTTGCTCAAACAGTTTCACTTTTGTTTCTACTGCCTGCCCCTCCTGTGATGGGTTCGATCACAGAGACCCCCTTGGGACTGTCACCTGATGTGCTGAAACTACCTCTGAACCTATTTTCCCTGATGGCTTGGGACTCCAGAACCCTGCCTTGTTGAGCCAGACATGCAAGCCTGCTGCAACACAGACCCAGGATCTGAACCACGCCCCCAAAGCTGCAGGCTTTAACTGAAAACTACTCAGCAGGTAACCAGTTTCCAGCATCCAGATACCCAGCTCCCAATGGGATCCAAACCCCAGATAAATCTGTTTTCCTGTGTATAAAGCTTATACAGGGTAAACTCAAATTGTCCGCCCTCTATAACACTGATAGAGAGATATGCACAGCTGTTTGTTCCCCCAGGTATTAATCACTTACTCTATGTTAATGAATAAACAAAAGTGATTTTATTAAGTATAAAAAGTAGGATTTAAGTGGTTCCAAGTAATAACAGACACAACAAAGTAAGTTACCAAGCAAAATATAACAAAACAGGCAAGTCTAAGCCTAATACATTAAGAAACTGAATACGGGTAAATGTAACCCTTAGAGATGTTCCAATAAGCTTCTTTCACAGACTAGACTCCTTCCTAGTCTGGGCCCGTGCCTTTCCCTTGTTACAGACCTTGTTAGTTCCAGCAGGCATCTTAGATGAAAAGCAGGGGATTCCACAAGTGGGGACCCCTTTGTTCTGTTCCATGCCCTTTTATATTTTTGGCACAAGGTGGGAATCCTTTTCTCTCTGGGTTCCCACCCCTCCTTCTAAAAGGAAAAGCACCAGGTTTAAGATGGATTCCAGGATCATGTGACCAGGTCACATGTCCTGTGAGACCTCATTCTTCATTACCCATCTCATGTACACAGGAAGGCTTGCAGGTAAACAGAGCCACTTACAGCCAATTGTCCTAGTCAATGGGAGCCATCTAAACCACCATTAATAGCCCACGCTTTGCATAATTACAATAGGACCTCAGAGTTAACTTCATATTTCTAATTTTAGATACAAGAATGATACATACATATAAATAGGATGACCACACTCAGTAGATTATAAGCTTTGTAATGATACCTTACAAGAGACCTTTTGCATAAAGCATATTCCAGTTACATCATATTCACATTCATAAGCATTATTTACATAAACAGATGAAGTGCAATGTCACACCTCCCTTCTCACATTTATCTCCAGACTTCTTCTCCTTGTCCAGATCTATTCCGCCCCCAACAATCTTCTATTTATTGAACTTTTTGAAACTTTGCACTTCTAGAGAGAGGTAAGGGATTGACTCTGTGTACACAAATTTGCAGAGGGACAATAGAGTTGAGGTCTGTTATTTCTCACGTCTATATATTATTTATTTAAAAACATTTTTGCTGTTAACAAGCATGTTATCTCTGGAGCCACAAATCCACAGTTTGAGAACTGCAAAACTAAGCATCTCTGATGGTCTCTTCTAGACTGAGCACTGAGTCCCATTGGGTAGATACAAAGATTAACCTAAATAATCTATACAGAAGCCCCTGGAACCCCATAAGATTGGGTCCCTAATCCATGAACTATTGGAACTCATTTACAAAACTTTTCTTAAACATTACATGAATATATTGTCTCATACTATAGAATTAGAATTTATAATCCCTATTCCATTATGAGATATCTTTGAGCTATAATGTATCTTAATTAAAACTATCTCTAGATAGGTTTTTTCCTCAAAAAGCATTTTGTCAAAAAATCAGATTTTTTTTTTTTTTAAATCACTGATTTTTATCCACCCTGTGTCTAACTAGGTGTCTCTTTGCTATTAAAGAAGCTGATGCATTCGGATGGCATGTGGAAAAGCCAGTGTGAAGTGTAAATCTTTAAGGTGAACCAATCAAAGTGTTCTAAGGCCTAACTGACCATGAGGCCTGATGAACTGTGTGACTGGCAGGTGCACAGAGAGAGTTTCCCATTACTCCTGGAGGAATTTGGTGCGTAAAAATTCTGCGAACAATATTTTAAATTTGTGCATAGTTAATTTCTCAAAATAACATAATAATCACACTAGTTTCAATTATTTTGTTAATTTATTTCAAAATACCTGTCAGCAAGTATGTCTAACAATACAGACAACAAAAAAGATTCAAGAAGTGTTTTTGACAAATAGATTCCTTATTAGGCATATTAATCCAGAATTTTGAGTAATAATTCATGTAAACTACCATTCAAAAACGTATTTCCTGCACCCCTCAGAAACAGTGCAAAGGCTTGGGGGAGTCAGGGGAAACAGAGGAGCTGAGGGAGAGGGAAGTAATTGCTGGAAGTAGCCTGGGAGTGAAGCAGGAGGGCTGTTGGGTGCGGGTGGGAGAAGTATAGAAAGGATTTGTGGGGGAGGAGGAGTGGAGATTCCTAGAGCAGATCTTTTAACAAAACATCCCATCTTGAGAATCCACCATGACCCTTGGTAAATTGTTCCAAAATGGTTAATTACCTTTGCGATCAGAAATGTATGCTTTATTTCAAGGGCTGTTGATTAATTGCAGTTAACCCATGCGATTAACTCAAAAAAAAGTAACTGAAATTTAATAAATTAATCGCACTGTTAAACAATAGAATACCACTTGAAATGTATTAAATATTTTGGATATTTTTCTACATTTTCAAATATATTGATTTCTATTACAACACAGACTACAACGTGTATAGTTGCCCACTTATTTTTATTCCAAATATTTGCACTGTAAAATTGATAAAAGAAATAGTACTTTTCAGTACACCTCAGACAAGTACCATAGCGCAATCTCTTTATCGTGAAAGTGTAATGTACAGATGTAGATTTTTTTTTTATTACATAACTACACTCAAAAACAAAACACTGTAAAACTTTAGAGCCTGCAAGTCCATTTCACCCCAAGGAGCCAGCAGCTCTGCAGTGGGGATCTGTCCCCAAGAGCAGCGTGTACTGGAACTTGTGGCATGGAGCTACATCTGCTCCCCCCAGGTGGGCTCTGGGTGTCAATCTGAAGGCCACCTTAGGGTGTACATGGAGCTGCATCAAGCCAGAGATGGGAGGTCCCAGACATGAGGCTGGGGAAGCAGGGGCATGAAATACGGGGGTGGAATACGGGGGTGGAATACAGGGCATATGGACACAGGGTGGGGATGGGGTCGGGGTCAGGACACAAGGGACTGATGGGGTGGGGTTTGGAACTCAGTGGGAGAGAAATGGGGTGAGGGGACTAGGACACTGTGGGCAAAGGGGATGGGCTAGGGAAACAGTAGGCAAAGAGCAGATGGTGAGTGGGGATAGAACATGGGGGGCAGGATGTTAGAGAAGGAGGCCCATGGTATGGGGGGGCAGGATACTGTGGGGCAGATTGCTGTAGAATGGGGCTGGACAAGTGGGTCAGATAGGCTAGGACACGGGAGGTGGGGGAGATGTGGATAGGAAGGCTAGGGCAGTGGTGTTAGGATATAGGGGACAGGAGCCCAGGGGACAAGCACAAACGGGGTGGGGCTGGGTAGGACACAGGGAGCGGAGAGAGGCAGGAGGACTAGAGCAGGTGGCAGATGGGAAGGAGGAGGAACCACTTACCTGGTTACACCCACCCTGGGGCCCCCTTGTCCTTCTGCTCAACCAGGGAGAGGCTGGCAGGGGCTGGGCTCTGGGTGTCAGTTCAGAGCAACTGCACCTGTATTTACCCTCAGTGGGCCCCACTGTCAGGCTTCCAGCTCCCCAGTTGTTCCCTCTCTCAGCTGAAGACATTCACCCCTCTCCCTTCTGACCGGGGTATTTGCAGGTTGCACCGTTCCCTCCCTCACTGTGTTATCCCAGCACGGAGAGGCTGCCGAAGGACACCTCCTGGCTTTCTCTTTAGAGATGATTAATAGGTGCAGTGCTACTGGTATAAAATACCACCCAGCATTTCCTAGCAAGTCTGCTTTCTTCTTAAGGTACAAAGCATTACAGAGAAAACATCATAAAAACAATAAAAAACCTACACACGTGTTATCAAGACCAGGATTATCCCAACCCTGCCATGGATTCT